CATGAGCTGGACTCTGGTATTGGGAATAAGGGTGCGAATTAACTTAATCAGTGGGATCACTTAAGAAAAAAAAGAGGCAGAGAAAACATCCTTTAGACATGTTGAGAAAGTCTGTCTTGAGAATGAGACCTTTGCTGTGTTCACAATGACTCACAACTCACAGAATAGTTCACTTTAAAGACGGTTTCTTTTTGTATTGCTGTCTGTAAACATTGTTTCTGCTGTACAAATGGGCATTTTAATCCAGGACCTCATGGGGTGTCCTTGGGTTTTGCAGCCAGCTTTGAGTGGACGCTTGAGGAACTGCAGTTTTTTGCAAGGCATTGGCTTAATTTTCCAACACTAGAGGTTGCTGGTTGATTCAAAACAAGAGGGAAATTAGTATAAAGCAGTGTCCAAGTTCCTTTTCTTTAAACTGGTGAGCTTACTATATGATGAGTAAGGAGCAGTGAGCAAATTAATGATTTCAGACACGAGCTAAATGTGCATGAAGGACATTTCCTGTTTGTCAAGGTTGAAATAAAAGAGTCCTCAGGCCCTTCTGCATGTTGTCTTGTATACCAGCCAGCAGCAGGAGTCTCCCTTGTCTATCAGGAGAAGGTAAACCTGATCACATTTATTTCTTCACTGAGTCGGCAGTGTTTGCCTAAGGTGGAGGCTGACGAATGTTTTCTTACTTTGATACATGGTCCACTCACAGACTAACTGAACTTAACAGTCACAAACAGATACACACACACACACAAGGGTATCAGTTGGTGTGTTAATGATAGCTTTTTGACAGTAAACACACACGCTGCTGATAAGAGCAACTTATTGGTTGGAGGAGAGTAAGGCAAAGTGAGGAGAGTAAGGCAAAGTGAGGAGGAAACTCCCCTGATGGAAAGTCAAAGCCAACTTTCAGAATCAGAGTAAATGATTAAGTTAAAGTAGAGGCACAACTTGTCTGATCTGGGCTTTAACAAATCAACGATTCTACAATAAGATCAACATTTAAATTGTTCATATATATTCTCCTCCTATACGGACAGCTTCAGCAGGAGTTATCGTGGTCTTTGTCCACTTACTCTGTTTTTCTGGTGGTTTTTTTTGCGCTGTCAGATCCGATTCTCAATGTAAAAACAGTTTGGGGAACTGATGTCCTAGCCGTAAGGTCGCGTCTCATGTACTGGGGCTATAGTCCTCCAAGCCGGCTGCTGGGTTCAATTCTTACCTGCGGCTCCTTTCCCACATTCATTCAGTCATTCCCCACGCACTATCACGATTTTCTAATCTAATCTAAATAAAGGCAAAATCCCTTAAACAAATCTTAATGAAAGAAACAGTGCAACCCAGCGTTTTCAGCGCTCAGCATCCAGAGCACAAAAACACCCTCAGTGTCAGCTGCTTTTTGTCGCTGTGCTCACAGTGCACTGGGCCACAAACAGTTCAACTTTTGGAAGAACCTTTTGCGCGTCATTGTCACTTCATCCACACCAACCAATTCAAATCAAGAGGGGGCGGGACTATCTTTGTGAACAACATAGCTCATCTTTTCGAGGGAACAAGTTCCAGGTCTAGAGCTGCAGCTAAAGCCAGGACACAATACTTTCACATAGTTTTTTTTTTTTTTTTACGTTTTCTTTATTAAACCTCCATTGAGCTAAAGCAAATACAGAGCAATGTATAACAGACTTAACGGTCAGTCTATGAGAAGCACTTTGAAGCGGAAGTTGCGGGCAATGGCAGCATAAAAAAAAAAAACCTGTTAATGGCCACCGAGGCTGTGTGTTAACAGGCAATGGCTGATGAGTCGCACTAAAATAAATGTAGCAGCCACATGTCCTGGCTAATGCTGCTACAAAGATGACATGCAGGCCCTCAAGATTTCAGATTTCTGTAAATCGAGGACTGAAAGAAGCATGATAACACTGAGGAAAGGCGACATTTTTCTGCTCCTTTTTCAAACTTTTCATTATTATTTTAAATAAACATGTTCACTACAAACCCATTTTCCAAATAAGAGGAAACAGGCATAATAGGCACAATATAAATATAGGTAACTAATACAGCAATACATGTTTTCACAAGTTTCTGTCATTTTTCTTCCTTTTGTTTTTCTTTATTTCTTCATTAAACGACAAATTGCCTTGACATAAACTCAAAGCCAATAATGAAAATTTCAACATGGTAATAACAACTCTAGTTCAGTGACGTTATGTAAGCCATGAAATCTTCTCAATGTAACTGAGTGGCAGCAGTTTATGGTCCGACACATCACAACAGACGATGTGTGTTAGAATGTTCTCTCCTAATGACGTCAAACGGAGGGTAAAGGGGACCCGTGGTGTGAACTTCACAACTTTATTCAAACAAACACAAATCAGAGGAGATCTGGCCGCCCTCCTTCAGGAAGCTGTACCAGCCTGCCTCCGAGGGGCCTCCGAGCTCAGCACCTCCTCAGCGCCTCATCCACTAACTGTTGTCCTGTCAAATAAACCGAGGAGAGGCTCGGAGCCGCGGGTTCAGAGGACCCCCGTGATTAAAGGATAATAAACGCGAACTCTGCTGAGAAAATATCACACACCGTCCTGTGAGGGCGAACGTCTCAGCAGCACTCTCAGCACTTATCAGTTGAGCAAAACACAAGAACAAACGGTCAAGTGAAAGAATCCAAACAGAGACAACCATCAAGGAGCACCTGCTGCACAATGACTGACAGCACAAACACAACTTAACGACATCTAAATGTACAAAAGGTAGCTAGTGTTGACTATAACACATATGCAAACTCAGTGTTTCCCACACATAGACGATACCTGGGTGGGCCGCCCCAGTATATTTTTTAATTTTTAATTTATTTATCAAATTGCTGCGTGCACAAGAGAGCGAGAATGAGAGATTGTGGGGGGGACACAGCAAAACCAACAGAGCAGAATAGCATTAGCTTCAGAGACAGAGGGAGAGAGAGAGAGAAGGTCCACTGTCCATACACCCCTCTTGTAAATGCACCGATTCAGGTGCCTTGCTCACATCAAAACTGAAGCTTCTCATGGCTTCGTTTGACTAATGTTAATGTACAGCTGCTTGCTGCTGATGCTGTCCTGAACTTATAAATAACAGAATATCGAGCGAATCACGTATCAGAGCAAGGCATGGAGCAAAGTTGTGGGACATGCACACCCTGGCAGCTCTTTCAAGGACACGCCCACCTGAAAGCTCACTCAAATTTCCCTGAGACTGCAAACAGAGCTGGACACTTGGTGTCAAAAGCTGAAACTAACCATTTCAGGAAGGGGATGAAATGAAGGGTTTTACCGACGCGAGTACAAGATAAATAAGGAGGTTTTTGAGCTACACATCTCGCAACACTACTCAATATGTGTCCCAGACTGACATAATTAAAGGTGAAAGAAGTGAGTGTGTAATAGATCTACTTTAAAAGTTTTTTTTATTTTTTTTATTTTTTTTATCTTTAGCTTTGAAGGCGGTTATTTTAGCTTTGATCTTGTTTGTCCATCAGCTTCAGCAGCGGAAAATATAGATAAAAGAAAAAGCCCCAGAGAGCTTTACTGTCAATTTTTCATTGACAGTAACACAACTGGTTTGTTAGAACATGTTACATCCTGCTGTGTGTGTGTGTGTGTGTGTGTGTGTGTGTGTGTGTGTGTGTGTGTGTGTGTGTGTGTGTGTGTGTGTGTATGTGTTTGTATAGTGCCCGAGGGCTAACTGTCAGAAACAGATAACAGAACCATTAGTGCATCGGCACTGTGTGATCTTCATTGAGAGTGAAGGGACATTATTGAGCTCGTTTGCTGAAACACTGCTCTTTTTTCCCCACTCTGTTTCTCTCCTCGTTTGGCCGGCAGCGTTGGGCCTGCCTGCTAAGTTGCCACAGCCAATCACAATTCAGTGTGAGGGAGACGAGAGCTGACAGATACAGTGACAGACTCCGACTAATTGAGCCTCATTATCTCCCCCAAAAGAATCCCTCTCCATTTGTTTTCTTCCCCTCGCTGTATTTTCTCTCTGTCTATTGATATGATTTGGAAAATAAACAAAGCATGCACATAAAAATGAAGTTGCTTGTCAGAGGGTGTCTGAATAAATGAGACTAAAGAATGCATAGTAAAGCTGGTTAGGGATTAATACTTCAGTAAGGGTTGTTTATTTCATGGAAGACAAAGTGACAGTAGTTATATGGAGATGGGATGATACTTGATTGTTTTTGCTGTGTATTAGCAGCAATTAGCATTCAGCTAGCAGCTAAAAGCAAATGTATAGCCCCTGCTCTCTAACCCAGCTTGACTGCCTCTTCTGGTCATTCAGCACTTCTCCTCTTACCTTCTGCTTAATGGACGTGTTAGCTTAGCCTAGCTGCATAATTACAGCTGCTTGTACTGTAACATCAGTGCGTACATGGCTGTTCAAACCATCAGACCTTACAGGGGTTCTTCTGCAAAGACCATTTTCCTCCAGTAAAATATTTTAAGAACTCTTGTGTTCCTCGACCAAAAGCGTGTTCAGCTCAGTAGAAAATGCTACACATCAAATTGAATCATTGCAAAAATCCTTCAAAAGTACAGAAACAGCATTACAAAAACGTCCCCTTCCCTTTTCTCTCAGTGCGTTACACTCTGCGTTCTGAGCTCTCTCCACTGAACATGAAGTCATCCATTTTTTTTTAGCAAGCTTGACGTATGAAGGAAAACTGCAAAGTCACACTGAGGGAGTTCACTCTTTCCTCAATCAGTTGAAAAATCAAAAGCAGAAAGGCACTTTTCAGGAATGTGAAACAGCCACAATAATGTGACGTCAGTGAGTAAACCCAACGTACCGTATAGTGGACCAAATAGAAATGTTTGGGTGTTGGTCACTTTGTCACAGTGAAAGTAAAACACAAAAAAAAGTTGTTGTGTTTTTCAGCAGCTGCACAATAGTCATTGTCCTGATGGCAACAAAAAGGCGACAGTGGCACAAAGAGAATAGGAAAAAAAAAACCCATAACAATCAGACTGTACCTGTTCTAATTTGAAGATGTGTTGGTTGAAGTAGTGCTGAAGCCGTTCGTTGGCGAAGTTGATGCAGAACTGCTCGAAGCTGTTGTTCTCATAATCCTCAAATCCAAAGATGTCCAGCACTCCGATGGACAGAATCTAGAAAACAAAAGCAGACTCATTATTCTACGTTACACAAATTATGAGGTCAGTTATCTGAAAAAAAAAAAAAAGATGAAAACATATCCCCTCGAAACACTGTAAACATCAGTAATAATGTATGAGTGTTGATCATCTTCATTTTTAGAGATGTGCTTATCACATTTCCTTTTATTTCCTGTTCTCTGCGTCTTCAGTGACCTGGCTGCCCCCGCTGAGTGTCGAGTAAGATTCATATCATCATAAATCATTAATCTGCACCATCTGAAGGAGGCGCTCGCTCACTGAGGGCCTTTAATTATGAAATGGACTGTAAAAGCTGTTTCCACTTTAATTTAATCTGATAGAGCAGTGTTTTATTTCCCTCCGAAGGACGCTTTTTTTATTTTTATATCTCCTATTAAAACATAGGAGAGCGCACGCTGCTTATATAAACTGTTATCTGCACACAAGAACAATGACCTTGACAGAAAGTGCAACCTCATCGACCCCCCGAGGGTATCGGGGGAGAGCTAACACACAGAGATGATGTCAGTGCCAAGGCAAGTACGCACGCACGCACGCACGCACACACACAGAAGATACACACTCACTGCAATGGTACAACGCAGGACCACAGGGGGTAAACTGAGCTGAGGGGAACTTGATGCCATCTGCCCAAATGTTCTTGGCACACACAGCAAAACATACACACAACAGACACACACACATACACACAGACAGACACAGAGAAACACAACAGACACACACACATACACACAGACAGACACAGAGAAACACAACAGACACACACACATACACACAGACAGACACAGAGAAACACACACACACACACACACACACACACAATGATCTGTTTCCTAATCCCTTAGATGCCCCCAAAGGGTTTGACTTGCCAGCTGCCACCCTAACACACACACACACACACACACACACACACACACACACACACACACACACACACACACACACACACACACACACACACACACACACACACACACACACACACACACACACACACACACACACACACACACACACACACACACACACACACACACACACACACACACACACACACACACACACAGTGGAATGTGATTTTTTTTCATATCGCACCGCTTCCCTCATCTGGGATTGGATGGAGCCAGGAAAAAGCACAATACCAAACAGACAGATAGACAGACAGATAGACAGACAGATAGACAGAAAGACAGGCAGATGTGTTTGACTGACAGGCAGCAGCAGGATGTGGACAAATGAGGAAAGACTCAAAGAACAAAGGGAAGATGAGAACGGGACAAAGGGATGGTAAATACAGTCTCATAGTGAGTTAAAGCCTGAGTAAATTATTACAATAAGCCAATTTCCACTTAAAGCAACAATATTCAGGAATCCGGTTTGGTGCTGCTCGGTGCTGACCCAAGGTCTCTTGGTGCAATTGCACAGTAGTAAAACACACGGTGTTGTTCCGGCTCCCCTACACTCCTCCTCAGACACAATTAGCATTTGTTGATAAGCAGAGGGGCGGTGTTGCGGGAGACCAAAGACCCAAGTCGACTTGCATGGTACATTAATATTAACAGATTTGCGCAAATATAACTCTGCTAGCGTCTACATCCAATTTTAGAGACAACTTATGGTCTAAGATGGATTTATTTATTTATTTCACAGGAAATTGGCTTCCATGTAATTAAGGTCAATAAGTGTGTCTGATGAGCTTCTGATTGGAAATGGGAAAACATGCATGCTCCTGTAATGTATCTTATCTTATAGCACCCTACTGGATCGGCATTTGATTTGACGGTCATTAGCTTCCAATTAGCATGCCAAGGTTAGCAACCAATCCGTACATCCTCCCCAATTTGTACTCCACAGTGTTCAACAATGACAATAAGGTATCTTGATTCAATTCTATAGAACATCCTAAAGAAAAAAAATGTTGGTGGGTTTTTAGATCTTCAAGTGTTTGTGTGGGTGTTTGATTCCTACCTTTGAATTGTCCTCCAGGTCCCTGTTGTTTAAGAGAGCGTGGTTGGTCCTGAACACGATCCAGTCAAACAACGCGCTGTACAGAGACTTGGCCATGGAGTCCCTCACCGTGCCCGCCTACACATAACACACAGATGTAAACACAGAACACGTCAGCTTCTTACTGATCACAAACATCTGTTTAAAAAAAAAAAAAAAATCAGAAACAGGAGTCCACTAAATGTGTTTTATCACTCTCACTCGCAGCCTCACTTGAGTCATTCTCTGCTGCCGCACAGGCATTTTTATTAGACAGAGGAAGTGTTGCTGCGGTGGCCCACAAGTGTTGAATTAAGAGAACTCTTATGCAACCATTGTAACCCTGCCATCCTTTATTAAGTTATTCATTTTGTTTCTATTGTGTCATGTAGAATAAATGTAATAGAAATCTGACGACTGCTTAGTCCGATTGGGTTTGGACCAGGACATAGACTGTTTAAAGATGGAGGACATGACCGCTCCAAAGAAGTAACGCCGAAACATTTCCAGCTCCAGCTTCTGATTGGCTGCAGAACAGGTCACAAGCCCCGCCTCCTCCATGTTAACAGGTAGGACATGGGTCAAACTGTAAAAGCTAAATACACATCCAATAAGTTTCTTTCAGAAATGGTTTCTTCTTTTATAGTTGGTTCTTATCGTTTTTTAAGGCGGCAAGGTCACTTTTTTCCTAAATGGTTCATTTTGCTTGTAACAGGCTCTGGGAAACTGACTCATCTTGCTAAGATTCTACAATTCTACAATTCACTTAGCAGAAGCTTTTATCCAAAGCGACGTACATCAGAGAGTAAGTACAACACAACACAGTAAGAGCAAACGATCAGCTTTAAAGTCCGATTGGACACACAGGTGCTGACAGGCATTGCACAGAGGCAAAGCACAACATTGATAGCAGTTCTTGAGAGCTCTAATCAGTATAGAAACCATCTTATAAGTCATCGTCAAACAAAAACAATCGTCACAACCATCATCCTCATCAATGATATCGAAACCATCATCATTAAGTTAGTAGGTGTTCATGAAAGAGCTGGGTCTTTAGCTTTTTCTTAAAGGTGCTGTGGGACTCTGCAGATCGAATGGAGTTTGGAAGTTCATTCCACCACCGGGGGGCAACAGAGGAGAAGAGTCTAGTCAGAGACTTAGGACCCTGCTGTGAAGGTTGGATCAGACGCATTTCATTGGCAGAGCATACTCTGAGATACTTCAGGAGTAGTAAGACACTTTGACACCACAGCTTGTTCACTTTCTTATCAGTAATGATAGAAAACAAGATCAATACCGGTCTGATATAGATAAGAGACTTACGTTAAAACCTCACCTTACTACTTTTCAACAACATGTTCTGTTTGCTTTGATCAACAGTAGCCTACATGTAGTAGGTTTACTTTTCATGATTGCTTTTCTTGTTTAGTTATTCATCTACTTTTATTTTCTTAACATGCTCCGAATAAAGTTATCAATCGATCGATATCTGTAGGGCTATAAGATATATTCAGCCAAAGCCAGGATGTATTAGCTTAGCATACACTGTAAGAAGGGAGAGCTAGCTTAGCACTGCAAGCAAAACTTTTTAACATTTTCATAAAGGCCCCTAACTTTGCTTTTAGGGAAGTCAGTACCCGATGTATCGACCTCATTTCAGAGGGAAGCAAGATAACAGAAAACAACTCAAAAGTTCAGACACATTTCCTGGACAAAGTTTGTCTTCCTGAAACAAAAAGCCACACAGACTCACTGAACACTGAATCAACCTGAAGTGTCTTAAATCAGTAAAGAACAACAATAAAGAAAATAGTCCCTCCAGTCAGAGGTTTTTAATGGGACACTGTGAACCTGATCAAGGACTCTTTAAACAGCTACCACATGCAGTCAGCATCCGTGATGAAGCAGAACCTGCACTTTAAAAGCTGCCTCTTCACTGCTGCATTATTGATTTTTTTGGGGATATTTTTAGCGAGCACGCCTGTGACGTCCCTGCTCCCACAATGTTATGCAAGATTGTTATGAATAATAAACCATTTGACGAAGAATCAGGATTTTTAAATGCTCCGGCAGGGGACTCGGGGGATAAGCTGATGTGATGTGCGAACATTTGACATGCTCACTGAGCGTGCGATGTCTCCGTGTTTGCCAAGTAATTTAATTATTCACCACAATGGCACCAGTTAAGAACTAGCGAGGAAACATGGCTGGAAGCAAATGGGTTGAAAACGTTTAACTGGAGGGCCACCCAAGAAACAGACGAAATAATGAGTGGGACTTTATCAGAGACTTTTTCATGGTCCTGGTTTTTAAATAGAGTCTTTGCTGGTGTTTGTGATTACTGAACTCTGCCGAGGTGACGTTGTTTCTCGCTTTCTTCAACTTCTTCTCGTCTTTATTCTGAAAACCACAGGAGGTGTAAAACACCAGCATGAGCTCACACTGCACGTGGCCCGCTAGCTTCTTTTACCACAATATGTCAAGCTGCATATGTTTTGAATCTGTTTTATGTAGTTGTTTTTCTATTAGCCTACACATACCTGCATGTTTATGTATGTATCTATGTGCTACATTTAATGGGATACGACTCTACACTCTCACTCTGCTGCCTCAACATCCTGTTGTAGCCGAATGTAAAGCAATGAATGAACCTTTGATCGCTCACTTCCTTTACCTCGTGTATGTCTTCAAACAGGAAGAACAAAGTGGTCAGGTTATCTGAAGCCACATCACAAAGTGAGAAGCAAAACACTAGACAATCGGCGCTCACAAAATGCACACACCAAAGATGTAGTTCTCACTTCTCTAGACCAGACCTGAAATACACTTTGTGTCTCAACCTGAGCTAAACCACAGAGGTTATTTCTAGCAAAGCATGATGGCAGAAGAGCTGTTCTCAAGGCCAGCTTACAGTGGAAGAAGTTATGTTTGTGCAGATACTGTACAGCTATCAGTCTTTATATTCATTGCATCTTTATTGTAAGTTTCAATTACATTTTTCTTTCCACTCAGTGAAAATACAAAATGAAACAGGGTTTATTTTTTTTTAACTCCAAATAAAACAAAATAAGACAGATTTTAAACAAACCTTCCAGCTACGAGTATGCTCTAATGTTCAATATGATTATGCAGACATGCTCATTTTAAGCAAGTATCCTCGTCAACCCTTTGGTGTAGAGTTAACCATAGACTGCATAAAACATGGGCGTACCTCATTGGTTTAATGGATTGGACATGTGAAGACCATCGGTGGTGGTTGCCATGTTGGAAATGCTGTCTCAAACTAACATTTGGTCAGTAACAAGCGAAGAGGTGGAGTTGAGGCGGGTCTTAAGGCTCCTGACAAACAGATACACCAAGCCTGCCAGTTAGTCAGATCAGTCACGTCCCTCTTTAAAAATAACTCTTCATGAAATCAAAAGGGATGAGCTTGAGACATCACATTCACTAGAATGGGATGGACATCATGACAAAATGAACTGGACCTTTGACTGACAAAATCTACAGATTATTATTCGGCCCAAGTGGAGAGTGTCCTTTTAAAGATCTTCAGCAAAGGTTTTCCTCAGATATTGCTTTCACAAGAAAAGGGACATGTACACATGTAGCCGGTGGCTCACTGATTCTGAACATGTTTTTGTTTTTTAGGGTTTTCTGCAAAGTCTTTGGTCTCAAATAATTGGGTTTGTGGGAAACAACAATAAGACAAAATAACACAAGGAACACCTGCAGTTCAATAAAAATCTGAGTCACAAAAGCTCTTCAGTGTCGTTGAGTAATAGTGAAAGACATTAACAAACAAGGCTTCACATTCTGACCTCCTTGCAGCTCGCCAATTTTCCCCTACTTACAAACTGAATGACTTTGACTCACATTATGAATCTGGATCCAAAACCAAGAATTCAAAATTCTGCATTCCACCTGACTCAACCAGCAAAGCATCCAGTCAATTTAGAGATCTTAGTGGTTGAAGTTGGAGAGAAGCCAAACTCTACTCTTCAGCTGGAGAGGTCAGACTCCTCGCCAAATATCTCCCCCATCTCATCTGTGGGTGGATGGGACGGCTGCCCAACACACTTTCTCAACCTTTAACATCCAAGGAGGAAGAAATGATTTCTGAGAAGAAGCTGAAACTTTTGCCAGGTTCATTTTTTCTCTACGCTTCCTTTGTATAAAAACAGGCGTGTTATGGATTCCACAGGTGGCCTCAGCTCGCTCGTTCCCACGGCCCTCGCTCCGATCAGGGCTGGGCTTCACTCACAATGCGTTTGTGTGAGTATTCTGATACGTCCATCTTTATTATGATCAGTTTGATTGTTAGATATGTAAAAGGATAAGGTAGGATTTGGCTCGTCTTTACTTCTTCGAACTACTTTTACCTTCTGTGAGGATTAGGGTAAATTATGGTTTGGATGAGGGCTTCGATTTGAATTACTGTTGCCATGGTTATAGTGAAGGTTAGTGGTTAAGGAGATCATTGTGTCGAATTTAGGTTGCTGCTGAAATGTAAAGAAACACAAACATCTGTAAGCTTGACTTAAAGTTCCTCACCTAGCATTGATTAAAACCCTCAAAACGTATATCTGTATTTGGTACAGGCATTTAAAAGGTCTGGTTTTGTTTCAACTCATTATTTCCTACAGCTGGAGAAAGAGTTGACCAGTAAGAGCGCTTCATCCATACAGGTCAGACTGGTATCCTGAAACATGGCGAGAGAAAAATGAGGATGTATCAAGGTCAAAGGTCAAGAGAGCCCACAGTGTGAAACTGGTGGATTTCTTGTGTAAACGAGTAAAAAAGACTCTTTATTGTCTCACAGCGAATATCTGAGAATTTATTTTTTTATTTTTAAAAATAAAGGGACTTTCAGAGTTAGAAAAGTCACTGCCTCTTTCTCTCCTTGTCCTTCTGAAAGATTTGCGTCTCGCTTACTTTCAAGATAAGAGCATCAGCGACAGACAGGAGGGAACTCCAGTGACATGGTGACTGGAAGATGAAGTACATCCTGACCTCGTCAGTGGTGAGGTCTCTGATCAGTCAGAGTAAGAGCATGAATATGTAAGAAACACGTGTCCAAAGGAGAAAAAGATAGACAGGGACAAACAGAGACAGACTCAGGATCTGTTTTTTGGCCTCTATTCTGTATATTCCAGTAGAGGTTGCACATTCCTGAGATCAGACCACATGACTGGAGGGGGCGTGTGCATGTGTATGTGTATGTGTGTGCGTGTGTGTGTTTGTGTGTGTGTGTGTGGGAGCAACCATTGTTGGGCTAAACCAACCCTCAGATTATACGGGGGGGGGGGGGGTGTGTAGCATGTGTAGCATTTCCTGGCCCTGCAGACATGAGCAGAGAGTGAGCTGGACCAAATTCATCTCTAAAACCGCTGAATATTAATGTTCACACGCTCAGTCAAGGACGACAGCGTATGTAGGTCAGCTGAGGAAGCTGGAGGTACATTTGTGAGCGCAGTGGACTGTGAGGACAGGGTTAAGTCGCCCTGTGTCTTGACTCGACAGGAAACCGGAAGTTGCAGAGGAAGAGACCCCCATCAAAAGAGCCTTAGAAAAGATAAAAAGGGGGAGGGGGCTGGGGAAGTGCCACAACAAACTCCTCAGACAAGCTCCAAAGCATGCAAACACAAACACAGACCTCATCCCCCCCCCACCCCCACAGCTGACTCCAATATGCCCTCTACAAACGGACTCAAACAACGCCCAAACTGCACCCCTCACACAGAGCAATTTTACCAGTATGTGAACTTTCCCAAAAAAATTCTCTCAATATTTGGTTTATCCACGCATGATGTTTTTACTAAACAGCCTACACAGTCCGTTTTAAAAGGTCAAGGCGTCTTTGCTTATTTTTGATGTGGTGTGGTGGTTAATGAAAGAGTCACCTCAGCCAGTTTGTAGGGTACAATGAGCCTCTCTCCCACCGTCACCGTCTTCCTTGTCGTCAGGGCTTCGAGCAGCATCTCCTCTTTGACCTTAAAAGGGAAAAAAAACACATATGAGGTTGAGGACGAGGAAGTTCTTACAGGCTTTCATGGTTTCAGAGTAATGTGATGATGCGACTATAACATGGAGCAATGTTCAAGTCCAATTATGTCTCATGACATTTGTTCATTCCGGGATTAATTCATAGCGAAAGCTAAAGAAAAATAAAAGCAAATGGATCACTGTAATTCTGAGAAACAACTTGATCCTTACACCCCAACTACACACCAAATGTATTCAGTTTCACGTCCATCACTGATCAAACCAGAATTATATACTTCCCTGGCTTTGAAATCAGTTGCATATAAATGAAAGGAGGCATGATTTCTGGACACATATCAACGTCTACAGACCACAACTACATTCTTCAGCAAACTGTAATGATGTGTTGAGCCCAAATGTCCTTAATTGAGACAGATATTCGTCTGTTTATACAAGTTTCAGTCCTTTCTCACTGGAGGCAGCAGACATGATGAAGAATATTTTCTACTGAGGGGGCGTGGTCAGATGGGGAAGTGATGTAAATGCATATCCTCTTTTGTACAAATATTCCTGTGATGTTGTACCCTTTAAGCACTCATGGAGTTCCTCTTGTCCAATGAGATCGCTTGGACAGAGTTTATTGTTGTATAACAGGATTTCAGCGAGATAAAGTACCTCAGTCCATCAGGAAGATGTTTTTATTTGACTATTTTTTTTTTTTAAAGCAGTTTTTTTTTGGCTGCTTACCAGTAATTCTATCATATATGAAGAGACATTTGTGTGATGAAAATCTACACTCAGAAGGTTAACCAGAAGATTTGATCCCTATCCCTCATTCCCTCTTACCTACTCAAACGATTTTAGCTAATGTGTTGAAGTTAACTAACATGGCAAGACGACAAGATTAGCACGCTAACGTTCCTCTCTGTGCTCACACATACGGGATGAACTGTGTGGCTTTGCATGCGACCCGGCCTCACTGATTTTAAACTTGGCCCTCAGACGGACCAGTGATGACAGGGCCACACTGGGAGAAGCAGATGTCACCGCACACATCTCCTCCATCTATGGGGATTATGGGATTGGACCAAACAGCTGCTGCTGAGACCACATGTGTGTCTGTGTGTGAGTGTGTGAGTGAGTGTGAGTGTGTGTGTGTGTGTGTGTGAGTATGTGTGAAAACTTGTGACAGCATGTCTGAGTGTGACTGCCTGATGTCTTCATGTACAATGGAGAGGGTGTTAATGTTCTGGTTAATACCATTATGGATCTAGTTTTGTTAACTGTCTCTTTTGTGAAGGCTTTAACATCAACAGAGGAGGGAGGACAGGAGGAGGGATGTGTGTGTGTGTGTGTGTGTGTGTGTGTATATGCTGCATGTGTGTGTGTGGGAGTGGGTCGGCAGGGGGGTGGCATAATCAGACTTCATTTCACACTGCCTGATAATCCCTCGACTGAGAGCAAAGCCTATTCTGCAGCCTGGTGATTGGTCTTTAGCCGGTACATTTCCATGTATTAGTCGCTCGGTAGCAGGCTTGTTGCTCCGTCTATGATGGCAGCTCTAATACCATAACACACAGAAATCACACCAGTTTGTACGCACGGGCTGTGGGGTCAGTGATTCTGTTCTCAAATTCACCCGCTTTCATTTTCAGAGCAAATGTTTAGGCTTCTGATGTTACACTTCTGATTACCTATCCCCTGTGATCTTCAGACAAATTATTCCAACAGCCTTTAAACCACGTGTTTACTTCTCTTCTTTTGAAACTTGAACTGATAAGAAAGCTTGTAGCAGGGGCGCTCTTAAAGGTTTCATATGCGATATTTTGATCCAGCAGATGTCACCCTTGAGCACCAGCATGAAACCAAAATTTACCCGAAATGACCGTGATCAAGAAACACAGTTAATCAGTGAGTACAGTATGTTATTCTTCTTTTCTCTAGACCCAACATTAAACAACTTTTATACGCAAGGGAATGAGTTGGCCGGCCGTCCCGGCGATGTAAACAAACTGAAGATAAGACTTGGAAACTCGGAAAGCATCACAGACAGTGGGACTCGGGTGTTACTCCCATTGTAGACAGTCATGACTCACAGAGTTATTTTCAGAGGACGCAGTTATTTTTTATTTCTGACCACTTAATTTAACCATTAATCGTTTAGGTAACCCCTCAATGTGAGATGTACAATCAGAGAAAAGCTTGATTATTTCTACAAATTCTACAGAAATGCTCCTTGAGGTCAGTGAATAATAAAATGAAGGAACTGTATGCTTACTGATAAGGTTAATACAACACAATCCTGTCAGGGCTTTATCAAAGTGTATTCATCTACGTCAGGTTTTGATGAATGAACAAAAAATTTGGACTGGTTTGCGTTCAGCCTTAAAAATATTTTGTTCTGTTTTTAGCATTAATACCATCAACAAATTCAGGCTTTAGCTGGATTTGTTCTCACAGTAAGCCTCTCTCTCTCAGGACCGATTAGCAGTTAGCACAGGAATGTTTCTTGTTAGGTCCGATCACTCAGCTCCACTGCTCAGAGGATCCAGCCTGTCAGCCGTCCGTCAGCTCCTACAGGCTCTGCTTCCCCTTCCAGGTCCACCTCCACGGGAAACAGGAAGTCCCAGCGAGTTTTGTTCCCATTCAATCATCAATCCGCACGCCTGCCAATCAGTGCTCCCCGAGTGTTTCAAAATCAGTGCAGCACGGTTATAGTGAGAGCAGTCCCATCCTGTCTACAATATCCCCCCATTTTAAAATCAACGACGAAGTATGGAACAATTCATTCAAACTGAAACTTCACTTAGAGCGTGTGTGTGTGTGTGTGTGTGTGTGTGTGTGTGTGTGTGTGTGTGTGTGTGTGTGTGTGTGTGTGTGTGTGTGTGTGTGTGTGTGTGTGTGTGTGTGTGTGGGTGTGTGGGTGTGTTTGCACCTGACCCGGACATTTCCGCCACTCATATATGACTCACAAAAATGCATTCAGAAAACCACAACATCCTTTTCAGGCCTTTTGCAAAGGGTTTGAAAGAAAGTCACATTACATCGATTGTCTTCAAGACAATTTGAAGAGAAATATGAGGATACTGTCTGTTTCTATTTAAGTAAGAATGTTTTCACACATGCACAAAACTCCTAAAAGTTCCACAAAATTCTGGAGGTGAGCTGCATCTGAGAATGTATAAGAACACATTTTTCATCTGGATTTCAGCCAGATTTATCTGCCTAGTATAATTTCCACAAGAAGTCAGGGTGAGATGTTGTTTGAATGCAGCATGCACTGTTCAAGAAAATTAACAAGAGCTGACTGGCGGGGGAGATGACGTTTACATCACACCATAGGTGCGATCATCTTCCAAGTAATCAAGTAATGTCACACTCTTTCCTGCTCACCAGTAATTCCTTTTCAACTTGTTCGTTGATACTGTGAGTATGACTAATAACACCAAGCATTGATATAAAGGCAACAAAACTGTAAGTGTAATGGCAAAATTTAGCACTTCGTCCGTCAGCTTGGATTGGAATTTCTACATCACGGTTTGCCTCCTGAGACCCCCCCCCCCTCCATGTGTGTCTGTTTGTGTGTGCAAACTATATAATTTGTCCATGTATTTCAAATATTCAGGTGTTGATTTAATTTATCTATTAATGTTTTCTTAATCCTGCTGTAAAGTTTGTTTTAATGTTTAATGAAACGCACTTTGGAACAATAAATACATTTGACCTTTAACCTGTAAACACCATGTTTCAAATCAAAATGATCCTCACATTAAAATGCACTAAATGAAACTTTTCTATCAACAGGTCAGTCAAACTAAACAATAACACACTAGGAGAGTACCTACTCTGATGCAGGAGCTAAAAAGGTTCCTTTTAAGAGGTTCCAGGAACTAATATAGTTCCTGCAGTGAGGAATCAATAAAAAAAAAAAGGGCGGCGTTCCAATACTTCCTAGAACTATAAAAAAGTTCCTATGGTTTGAAAATGCCTAATGTCAGTTTACAACGAAACAAAATATGAACTAGTTGTTTTACTTTACCTTTCAATTCCTGTTAAAGTAAAAACCATGACATACTTTTCTAATTATCCGACGGTGACAACGCTCGTCACATCAGATAGCAGGATTTCCTGCCATGTTTAAGCTTCAGATGCCCTCAAAACGCTCTTTTGATGCGGCTCTTTTGTTTGACTTCACTTGTTTTGATTTTCCTTCTTTCTTTTGATTCTCTGTAAGAATGTTTTATACGTCCCTGGGGACAAATAACCCCAGCCTCTGCACCAACTAACAGACATCCAAATAAACTTGAACTTAAAACACAAATCCCTCCGGCATGTGGCCAACATGTGGCTCGGCTCACCTCCCCGCCTCTCTGAACCTCTGGAGAGTCGAGGAGTCTCCGTCTGGATGTTTGAGGAGAACCTCAGCGGAGATCTCCTCAGTCATAACAACCCCACTGTGTTGCTGACAGGAGTCTCCGGCGCATACAGACTTTGTTTTGTCAGCGACTCAACAAGGACATCCGGCTAATCGTTGAGGTCTGTGAGAGGGACGGGGAAGTGCCACCATCAGTCAATCGGAGGGTAAACCAGAACAGCATGAGGACATTTGAGCTGTCCACTCAGCTAGATGTGTGTGTGTGTGTGTACGTGTGTGTGTGTGGTCTGCACACATGCACAAAATAAATACATTTGTTAACACTGCTTAGAGCATTAACCGATGCTAACAAACATTTCCCTTATTGTCATGTGGACTCTAAAGAGTCTTAAGTAGTTTGATCTGCTGATCTGACCAATTACTGTTAACTTACTACAGGGTCTGAGTTAAAGATATTCCAACATGAAAAATCAAACCTTCATATGAACGTTGTGTCTGTTCAATTTAGCTGTAGCAGTCATCAAAGAAAAGTCAATATATAAAATATTATTTAAAGCTCCTATGAGGAATTCTTTGTTTTTGGAGCCCCCCCTGTAGACAAAGCGGTTTTGACTTTGACCTGTGCATGTGTAAGTAGTCGGGCTGGGAATCTTTGGCTACCTCACGATTCGATTCAGAATCTATTTTCGATTCAAAACGATTCTGGATTCATAGATCTATGGATTCAAAGTCTATCTTTGAATTAGTACATGCTTCAGGATCTACTCCAGTCATCTGTGAGACTGGCTGAATTTCTTGCTGGTCCATTTGGCATTCTACTGAGTTAAAGAGCTAGCAATAGCACTTAGCAGGGAGTGACTGATTAGCCCCCCCCCAAAAAAAAAAAATCAATGTTTTTTCCCCCCCAACTTTCATCTTGATGTCTTTTAACAGTAAAATGTATCACCTATAGAACATCTTTACCGTGGATTATCTAAAAAAGAATAAAAGTCTGTTTGGACAGGGTGCTCTTTATGACATCATCTGACACCTACTCCACTGCAGAAGTTTCAGACATAAAAAAATAATATAGAAATAGCAGATCTTCTGATTGATAGGCTTGTCTACCTTAGGTCGAGGCATCAATATTCATTTCAGGCTGTTTCAGCACCAGCCAAAAACCTCCATCAGGAGCTTAAAATGAATCAAATAAAGGGAACAATGAATCAGCTTCAGACTGTCACAGGAAGCTGTTTTACCTCTACAGTCTGACTGTTACAAAGTCAACCTGAGGCTGACTGAACTTTCTCTGCAGGAAAAAAACAAACAAAAAAAACTGCCTCTAAACAAATTAATCTGCTTAAAATTAAAAAGCAATCAAACAGGAAACTACTGCGTTGAGCAAGCAGGGATTAATAATGAACTGCTAACATGCCGAGAAGGAATCAGGTCAACATGCAAAACACTCAAAAGGGGGGAATGATTTAAATATTTCACAGCGAAATTAGGAAACACAAAGTTGTTGAAAACAAAGCTATGAATGAAAGATTTAATATAATCCTTTAATGACATTTGTGGAAGCTTGTATCAGATTTAGGTTTATTTTAATTGCCATTAATAGATGAATTAGTACAATAAGATTGGACATCATCACCTTGGATCTCTCAATAGCTCAAACAAAAAGTGTGATTGATGGTTCAACAAACACATTTTGTCTACGGCTCCGGAGAAAATTAAATAAAAGTTATGTTTTCTAGTCTTTAACTAAACAGAAAATGAAGTAGGTGTAGTTGTAGTTGCACAACAGCGTGTGTTGTTCTTGGTGTGACAGCCGCCTACGCAGCAGCACGAGAAGTCCGAAAATAGCATCAAAACACAAACAAGACTTTGTGAAAAGCTCTGGACGCCTTACTAGGACCTGAAGCACCTCTTCACTTCTGATGTCACCACCAGCTGTGCGCGGCTCTGCTAGATTTTCTTATGTAAAGCCTTTACTTCATGATCATGATTTCACACTGTTTAAAAAAAATCATCCAGAGCAAAAGGAAAAGTCATTTGCTCAGATGAATGCTGCTTGTTCTTCAAAGTTCACCAAGTCCATTGAGTTTTAAGTATCTCCAGTGGGCATGTAATGGAATAACTTTGGGAGACAAAATGGCAAAGAAAGCATTCAGGGAGAATAAACAAGCCCTGTGGTAAAGCCCCGCTCCAATTCTTCATTTTTATTATCCTTGAAACTATTTAGCGTATTGTATTCCAGCATACAGTCAGCTAGACAAAATGTTCCCTGTTTTTTCACTCAGACATGTCAGATGTGTTTTCTTCTGTTGGATTATGAAAGTGATTTCTGCCGCGCGATGTTCAATCAAACCTTCATGGCTTGACACTTAAAAAGAAGCATGACGCTCACCTCCAGCAGCTCAGAGACGATGGGCAGGACCTCTGGGTTGCAGATGTCGATGGAGTCGTCCCTGTAGGTCTTCTTCTTGTAGCGGATGTTTCCCAGGTGGAGGATTGCAGACAGCAGGGAGAAGATTCTGGAGAAGAACGCACCAGCCGACACTGAATTAAAGCTGTTCATTTCAAAGCAACGGACTTTACAAAGCTTCATGACTGATCTCTGCTGATTTGTACTTTGTCTCTCTTTGCGTCTCTGTCTGTAACTTTGGGTTTTTGCTACTGCCTGTCTTGGTCAGGGGTTCCCTTCAAAAAGCGGTTCTTAATCTCAATGGGAACAACCTGGTTAAGTCAAATGTCGTCAAGGATTTCTTTGATCTTCTAGACCCTATTGAGATTCAAAACAGCAGGAAAATACACTTGAAATTGCATTCTTGCATCGAGTAAGATGAGCAGGGATTTCCGTCAAAATGGAAGATACATCCAGTCAGTTTTGCAAACTATCACTTAAGTCTGGGATAATAAAACAATTTTAAACAACTCACCTACTAACTTACTAAGCTACAGTTGAAACATGCTTCAATGTTTTGTGAGAAAATGAGAGCAGTCGTAGGAGTACATACAGAATAATATGTTTAATTGGAGGAGGTATTTCTGCACGATAAATCTACTGTTAAAGACCGAACAGACAGAACTGAGGCTCTGTATTCAGTGCAGCAGAACAGTTGTCCAGGTTATTGTAGCTGATCTTACTGTTTTCGTGTTGTGGGTAAGAAGCCGACCATCTCCATCGCCAGCTGCAGCCGCTCAAAGTCGTGTTTCAGGTCCTCTCCCTCCACCGTGAAGCAGTCCTGCTGGTGTCAGGTGGAAACACACAGAGAGACACACACAGAGGGAGACAGAGAGAGACATCAATGTTACAAATAAACATGCAATACACAGACTGAAATAAAACTCAGAGAACCAAGCTTTGTCAGTGTGTGAACCTAACAGATGTCTTATACCGAACAAGTGTCCTGCAGATATTAAAGGACTGAGTTGGGTTTCCCAAAACATTTCATGTACGAGAGCAGCCGATGTTTCTATGTCGAATACCAAGAATAATGTAACTGTAAATGAAATTTATCTGTATAACCCATCATGATATCGAAGGCAGTTTAAAGTCTGTCTGCCGCAATTGTGTGTTATTTCCTAAAAGCCTCACCAGGACAAGGATTTCAAATTAGCCATGGATAGAAGTCCGATATTGCATTGGTTACACTTAGACGCAACAATGCCTATATGTATTGTCCCCGACAAATAAAATGATGAATACATAAATAAAAGTCACTGTTCTGCAATTCACAAGTGAGTTTTAAAATCTTGGTGATGAGGATAACAAGCCAAGACCAATCAGAGCGAGGTTAGACACAAGTCCTTAACTCTCAGAAAGGTCATCATGAGCTCTGAATTTTTCAAAAACTGCGAGGAAATGATCATACAAGAGAAGAGAACGAGCAAATGAAAAGTCTGGAGTCCGAGCGCCAAGATCACTTATATATTGCCCCAAAAGGAGACTTTTACCTGTGAAGCCTCACCATCAATACTAAACACACAGAGATGTAATATAAGTAGTTCCGCTGATGTTTCAGCCTTGGAGGTAGTAACAGCATTGTAACGGGTGTAAAACATGGTTACTGTCTGAGCAGATAGACAGCTGGGAACAGTACTTTGTTTGTAAAGTAAAGAGTACATGGGAGTGCAACACCATTGCACACTTCAAAAACCACACTCTGAGACCAGCACAGAAGGGGTCTCATTCTTAATGGATCCGAACATCATGCAGGAGCTGAATCAATTACGTCAAACACAATTTAGTCATGATCCTCTGACAGTGAAGAATAAATGTGACTGTACTTTATCTCTTTGGTTTGATTAATTAAAAAAGCATGTGGCGCTGTCAGAAAAGCAAGAAGATCATCAGAGTTAATTTGAGTTGAGGAAATCCAGCTCAGTTACATCTAACAGGGAGACACTCGTATCTTAGAGCGATAGTAAAGAAAGGAGGTGACTGTGTGTCTCCTGTCGGTCAGCATGTCTCTGCTCCTGCAGAGGCTGTAATTAGCACATACCACAGCGAGCGACCACCGAGAGAAGACACGGGGAACCCATAATCCAAAATCAGCCTCTGCTACACTTTAACATCTAACGCTCCTCTCTGCCTCTCTGTTGTTGATCCTCGGGCTCAGAACTCTTCAGAAACTGCAGAGCCGACACTCGGAAGAGTTTTTCTCCAGCGAGCTTCTCCAATTGCAACAAAATGAGGTTTTGAGGCTTCTTATTCTGCAGCGAGGCCCGATGAGCTACTTTCCAAATTGTTAGGCTTTAGAGCCAAGCAGCACAATGTGATACGATGAAGGAAGTTGAGAAAATAAAGAGATCAATTTGGTGCAGTTGGAGGGAATACTAACCTGAGCTAATGGTACAGAAAGAACAGAGTGTAGCGAAGAGATGATTAAGAATCAATCTGTTCTACTTTCCTTTTTTTAAACAAAGACTCTTTTTCTCACTTTACTACTTGGAAATGTTATTTCATGCCAGTTGCAACACTTCTGGTGTAGCATGACACTAAATGAAGACAAATTAGAAGCCGAGCTGACGCAGCACAGGCAGCTTTTTAACAGATCGCTTAACGAGCCAGTTAATAGTTTGGTGCATCCGGTCCCAGTTTTTTTTTTCTATACTAACCAGGACTTAATCGTGATTTATGTTGTCGAGGCAACCACTCACCAAAAACAGCATGCCACCAATCACTAGAGATTCCACACAGCAAAACCAAAGACACCAAAACAAGCAAAAAAATACAAAATACAAACCCACAGCCACAAAAGGGCAAAAGCCACACACTCTGATTGCACATGTGCATTTCTGCATCAACATCCAGACATGTTTGGTCTTTGGGATCTTCAGTCTAACAGTGAAATACTTGATTCTTCTTTAAAATGCATGTTTGTTTATTTTCAGCTCCAGATGTTTGCATCTGGAATCTGCAGACACTTGTCATCGCTCAAAGTGCTGGCCGTCTCTATTTACTGAGCGTGCCCCCTCCGCACGTTAACCAACAGCAGAGGTCAAGGGTTAAATAGGCCCAAAGGGTTGGTCAGATGCGCAGACAGCTGTCAAGGGCTGCTGAGGTTTCTGTTGGTGTGTGTGTGTTTGTTAAGACAGTGACATCATCTCCTTAGACGGTGGGGTCACAGCCTGGTGAGGTCATTGACTGACCCCTGAGAGAGACGGTGTGTCAGCAAACAGTGAGAGAGGACGGTTGTGTGAGGAAGAAATATGAGCAGCAGGGCATCTGGAGTACAGAGAGAGAGTTAAAGGAATAGTTCTAGGGATTCATGTTATTTGCCTCCTTTGCAAGACCTGATTTGAAAAGATCTTGAACAATCTTGTTTATCCGGGAGTGCTGTGGATTTGCTTTCCAAAAAGATGGAGGAGCAGCTTGTAACATACTGAAGATTTAAACATTGGTAATTCTTTATTAACATGAACATTGAGATTTAAATTGGGAGTTTTTGCAAACAACAGCTCTTCAGGTGCTTCTGTGCAACATATATAGCTTGAAAAAAATGTTTGTGGCGGCAGCAGCTCAGTCTGTAGGGACTTGGGTTGGGAATCAGAGGGTTGCTGGTTCAAGTCTGGTAGCTGGAGAGTAACCAGTTCACTTCCTGAGCAGTGCAGGGGTGTCCTTAATCAATGCACTGAACCCCAAACTACTCAGGCGCTCTTTCATGTGCAGCCCCTCACTCTGACATCTCTCCAACAGTGCATGTGTGTGTATTTCAGCCTATATGTGAATGACTCAATAAGAGGGTGTAATTAATTTCCCCGCGTGTAGGAATAAAGGATAGGAAAACAAGTTATCATCTAACTTTGATCAGAACCAGAAAAGCTTTGTTTTACTTTAGATGTTGTGAGTCGGTGTAATGTTCTTACTGTAGATGAAGCCATGCCAGCTGTTAGCCTCTGCGTGCTGTCTTTTAGCTAAAGCTTGTCAACTTCTGAATTATTTAATGCATGCAGTGTTTCACCTACAATTCCTTCGGGGGGGGGGGCTGCCTCCCAAAAATGGGACCTCACACCCCTCCAAAATAAAGGAACAAATACTTGTGAAATTTATGTCCACTTGTTTTGTTTCAGCAGAGCATGAACCTCTTTTATCTGCTCGCTTGTTCCTACCAAGGGCGAGTTTTCATCTTTGACACAATCATACTGACTGACACTTATTTGTTGTTATTAATAGCAGGCAGGGAGAGAGATTATGGATGGGCGATCTACATTTACTTTTAATGAGTATGGCACACTGTGCTGTCTGTTCATGAGCCTGTCTCACCAGAAAGAGTGTCACCACAAACTTTCAGCAGTACCGCCCGAGTCCAGGAATTTCAAAATAAAGGGTTATATTTTCAAATGTTTGTTTTCACGATTGTGTGTCACCAACAGGCATCTGTGCGTTTTTAGCGCCCATTTCAAGCATACCTGAGGGGGTTATTTGAACTCAAAAGGACTGATTTGTGGTGGAGTAGAGCTTTAACAGTAAGAAAGTGAAACGAGCCCTACAGTGGATTAAGAGTGAGTGTCCTCAGAAAGCCTTCCAGGATAAAAGAAGAGTCTAAAAAAAAGAGTGGTGGACAAAGAGCCAAAGTCAATAAGGAAATAGCGAAAGACCAAAACATGAACTGTATTTACACCGACACAGTCTCATGTTGAGGGATGTCAAAGTAACTGTATCTTCTATGAGGAGACACTGAATCCTTTAATCACACAATTTATCCCACTGACCAAACATCAGGAGGAGGCTGGACACACAGAGCAGCTTCAAACACCAGCAAACACACACACACATAAAATATGGACCACACACACACTTAGAGGGAAGTTTCAGGATGTGAAGTGAAGTATATTAACCACATCTACAAACTTCTCTTCAGTAAGTAAGGACTGATTGATAGAGAAGGGTTGAGTTTATGTAAAAGAAACGCTAACTCGTTCAGCTAGTTTTATCTTCACTGTTTCGCTTGAATGAGTGGTTTTTGTTACATATGCATTTCTATATTTAGAGCCAGATCAATATTCAGGCTATCATTTCATGATTTAAGACTTACTGTACTCAATCTGATCCTTTTCTTTCTTGTTCAGCTACATGACCACCAGCTCCGGGAAATACTTCAGTTTCAGCTGTGTCAGCAATAATCCTAAAAGTGTTCATACAATTAACCCATGTTTTTTTAACGATACCTTTAGTCAGCTTTTTTCCCCAGCAGAAGTTTTTCAATAAATGTCATTTATATTTAATTTTATAGATCATTTTTCAATGTTAGAACCCAGACTTGCTGGTCTTGCATAGGCTCAACTAGGGATAAGAGTTGGAATTTAGCAATAGCTATAAGCTCTCCGTGCAGCTCATCAGTTTCATGCTCTGTATTGAAACTGTGTCAAATTGCATTGTCCCGTTTAAATAAATAAATTAAATTCTAAGCTTGGCACATTTCTTCATCAGTGATAAAGCCTCTATGTTTATTATTTCCACTCATACAGCCTTTTATTACAAATCGCAACATTACTATACTTAAAAAGACGTGTTGACTGTTGATGGGAACATGACATAAACTCTGAGGATCAATGAGGGCCCTGTGCACGGCTGTGCTACTCATCCAGCTAGAGCAGGTACAGACAGCTTTTCAAGATCAGATCATTCGACTCTAATGTTTTATATGCATTTAACTTTAAAGTCTATCTGAACAATCCTGGTGTGTTGCTGGATTACTCTGATCTTGAATAACATTAAATCTGTTGCTGCAAGTTTAAATACTAAATGCTATATTGCTTTTACGTTGAAGGAGACATTTCAGTGATCAAAGCAGAAATGATGGAAACGTTTTGAACTTGACAGTCTCACTCACAAGTTTTTCTATCATGTGTTTTAGATTTAAAACTCAATTATTCACAAGTGTATGTCAAAACCTTTCCAGTTTTGTTCCAGCTGGCCCCAATTGAAAAAAATAAAATAAATAAATGTATCTAGAACTCTCAGTGTCTCCATAAGTGCAGAGACTCCTTAAAAACTAGAGCAATTTAAATATTTGTGCCTTACATACGAACATCTTTATATTGTATTAGTCTACAGAGCTTCTTTCATGCTTTCTGGCTTTAATTCTTCAGTGTGAAGTGTTTTGTCTCATTAAAATGTAAATAAATGAGTGAAAGTCAAATCCTGAACCTTCCCTTTAAAGATGGCGTGTTCCATGTTTGACAGCGTCACGCCTCTGAAGACAGCAAAGCACCCAAAGCCAGAGAACGTTTAACGAATGTTAAAGGGATACCTTCATGTGGGAATTTGTATTTATTCAATTGGCATTATACATACTGAAAAATACAATGAGGAACATAAAAGCCCATGTCTTCAAAGTAGATTTGTTTGACGTATAGGAGATGTGATGTCTCATTTCATTAAAAACTTACGGTAAATTCTTAATTAAACTGATTTTAAAGCTTTAAACCTGATACTAAATCTCTAACCCCTTCTTCTAAGAGAACACGTTTATCTTTATCATATCAAATTAAAGTGATTACATCAAAAGGTATCCCTTTAAAACACTTTAGAAGCAGTATGTGGAGCACGGCCAGCTGAGGTCAGCTTGGGTCGCCTCCACCTTTCAGTGAAAGCAGGCGTGTGTGGACAGCGGGGAGACAACAAGACCAAGACTACAGCACCAAAAAACCCAGAGCACCACCACACACCCATGAGCACAAATGCACACAAACAGGCCGTCGTCCACGAGATACTGACCAGGTCGCTCTCATAGTAATTGTCCCAGTGCAGTTTGTGAGATTTCTTTGTCATCTGGAAGCAGAGCGGGGTAAGAAGGGATGAATTACACACAATAACAGGCTTACTTAAAAAAGAGTGAGAAAGACGACACATGCTGTAAATATGTGAGGAAAAGATTACATAATCTTCACACATATACACAAAAACAGACGCTCACATCCCCAGAGCTGCAATAACTGAACACAATGTGTGATGTAATCCAGAGGAGCGAGAGGAGTCAGATGGATTATATTTCAGAAAGCGCACACTCTCACACATTTGGTATTGAAGTTCAGGTCATGAGTGACATAACTGAACATTTTTTAGTACTAAACACACTACGAGTACTGTGATCTTCTTCTCTGGTGAAGGTATAAATACAGACATCCTGAAGAACAATGCAAGTACATGTTTTGTCAAACCTCCTCAATATCTGCTCTAGTGATGAACAAGTTGTGTTAAGCAGGTTTTTATCATTTTTTTGCGGCACGCTGCTGCAGAAAAAGAAAACATAAGGGCGATGGTAGTGAATAAAAACAGTAAAGTTAGCGGTTGGAATTCTCAATCTTATGTAGCTTTGTAAAGCTCTGAGCAGAGCAGCAGATCCATCCTTCTCTAGGTTTATAACACAATTAAACATGTTTATAATGTCCTGTTCTTTCTACAATGTGATAAAAAAATTAAAAAATAAAGCTTTGACATGAACTGTTTGGACAACAAGAGTGAATTAGTCATGTTCCACCTCTGAGAAACAGACAGCAGACAGACACAAAGAAAGACCAACACGGAAAAGACAAACCGAGTGATGAGCATGGATAATCATTTAGTTCCTTTGTGACACTGTGTGTGTGTGTGTGTGTGTGTGTGTGTGTGTGTGTGTGTGTGTGTGTGTGTGTGTGTGTGTGTGTGTGTGTGTGTGCTCAGACAAACTTGTGTGCACAAAAAAGACACGAGACTGTCGGCACCCTCGGCACGAGAGCGAGTCAGCGCCAGATTAACTACAGAGTGTTGCTGTTGCCATGGAAACAGGGCTTTATAGAAGATGGGATAGGAGAGAGGGGGGTTTGTTGTGGGGATTTAGGGGGAAGGAAAAAAAAACCGTTACTTTTTTGGGGAAGCCAAAAAAAAGAAGAGAAAACATTGGAGTTATTTTTTCTGTTGCCTTCCCATCGTACTGCAGCGGGAACCTCACACATCTGTTGCCAACGCACGCACACACACCTATTTACTGCAAAGGTGCACACTTATGGAGGCTCCAGGCATGTACAGAAGAACGTAAAACACACTCAGCCACACTAACACACAAACATGAGACACATGCAGGGCTGATGCAATGAACACATCAGAGCTTTGAGATGTGATAAACGAGTAAACAAGATCCAAACGGAGAGAAACAGAGAGACGGGAGACTCAGAGATTTTTCTATCATCATCTTCAGAGTCTCCATCAATCTCTCCACAGGAAGCTGTCTTGACTTTGTGTAGACAAAAAATGCTTATTTGCATTACAAATTTACTTTGAATTGTTTGCAGCTCAGCTAAATAGAAATGCACGCTGGGCTTCACACAAGAACTCTTTATACAAACATTATTTTTTTTATGTAGCACATATGGTTTACACTTTGTGGTATTCTCATATTTATTACATTCAAGGTACGCACAATGGGCTTCATTCACTAATAAATGCTTAGAAATCTTCTTACTCTGTTATATATGTCACATATATATTTGATGTGCGGTGCTAGTGAGTGTGTGTGTGCGGACCTGGTTGAGGTAGTGGTATTCCTCAGGTTTGAGCAGGTGGAAGGACTTCCTCTCATCCTCACTGGCTCCGGCCAACAGGTAGTAAAACACATGATAGTTCCTACAGAAACACACACAGGTACATATTGATCACTCGATCCTTTTTAAATTCCTTCAGATCAGACACAACACCTGAGGAGGAAACTTTGGTGTAAAGTACAGTGGGGAAAAAAATCATGTGCAGTGCAACATCTGAATTACAAAATCCTATCTCCCACCTTCGACCCATCAGACTCACATTGAAGTTAAACAAAGCAGTCGTGAGGTGTGTGGGCTGGAGGAAAGAAGATGAATTTTGGGGCTCCAGCCAACACACTGGGATGTAATTTTACTTTCCCCTGAACGAGCTCCATATCTCAGCCGAGGGCTCTTACAGGCTGATGGAGAGGTGGAGAGTTAAAAAGTCCAGGGAGGATAATAAAGAACCCTGACATACGTAAGAAGGGGATGGAAAGTATCATGCACATCTATTACCATCCGTCTTCAAGCACATTTAGTGTGACTTTAGCATTAAACTGCAGTTATAGAGCTTGTTTTCAGTTTGATACAATAGCTAGTTACGAACAGGCAATCTGATTGGCCAGGAGGCATTTCATTAATCATCACTGGGCCTTTTCACTAGATGGATCACTCCGCCTCAGCCAGGTGTTCTCAATACGACCAGTTTACATTACAGAGAACGGTGTTAGTTATTTAAGTTAGTAAAGTTTTTACCTCTGTATAACTTAACAGACTATAGCTTCCCTGGTGTCATAGGCTTCATAACACAAAGTGGTCTGTAGTAACCATGGTAACAAACAAAGCAGCAAGAGGGAAGTGGAATGTTTGCGTTACTTGGCAACTGTTCAGTTTCAGTGAAGTTGTGGAAGTAGTGGAGTTGGTGGAGCAAAAATAAACTTTGTCTTTGTCATGATCATATCAGCAGCTGAATCACAGCAGTGCTGATATTCAGAACATCATCTTCCCCTCGCCTGTGATATTACTTAAGTGACATAAGTGCACTGTAGGCCCATGTAACGCATTGTACACATTCTTTTGTTAGCACTTTGTTCTTAAAGTTTGTTTTCCCTCCTGTTAACTTTTTATTGTAGTATTCATTATCATCAATTTTAACAGCCAGAAATGAACAGTTGCTTTTTTCATTGTCATGCACATGTGTTTTCAACTTTTTTTAAAAATGAAAAAACTTACTATGTGGTAGGCCTACAACCTAAAGCAGCTTATGTTGCTTTTTTGAGCTAATCTTTTGATATCAGTTTAAACTTTGACTGATATGATTTGATTTAATTAACTTGAAAGTTGGTAGGCCATAATGTAGGTGTGGTATTGAACTATTATTACTGTTTAACTCTTTAACAAGTTAATAAATGTCATAAACTTCATGGTAATATATGTTTTCCATGGTCATAACCCCTTTGAAAAATAATAGTCATTTTTAAGCACCTTAATGGGATTTTGTAACAACTTATAATTTACAATTCTGATAATACAACAAATCATATAATAATAAATATCTTGAATAACCAACTACAATGCACCCACATCAACAAAAGCTTAAAGCTAATCCCGTACATTGGATATTTTCAGACTGATCTGAGCTTGCTGAGTAGAGTAACCGCTCCTCACGTGCACCGTCTACAACCCCATCAGCGTCCTGAGTCATAAAACCAAACACCTCTCTGTAAAAATCTCAGCTTCTTTCCGCCTGTTATTTTGATTCTTACTCCGGGGTCGTTCAGAGGCAACCTGTCATGAGACGTGCTTTAAGATTTAAGGTAGTTTGGAGTTCATCATCAGCCTGCGTTCTCCCCCCTCCTCCCTGCTTCAACTCCTAGCCGGCTGTGAGGTCCTGTCTTCAGTTTCCACACTATCAATATGGCGTCAGGGTCTGTCAGCAGGGTGAAATAGAAACCTCGGGACCAATCAGGGTTAGAGGGATTAGATGACCCCTGGATGGTTTTATATTGTTTTGTTTTTTTCTTCACTCAAAGCACCATTACACTGGTGGGGTCAGGGATTTTATATTTTCTCGTCGGAGTGAGTGTTGTCTGACCGGAGGAGAATATGATTTTAGAGATGTTGGAGCAGGTGGAAATACCTGCAAAAAGCATTTGTTTATGTGTGTGTGTGTGTGTGTGTGTGTGTGTGTGTGTGTGTGTGTGTGTGTGTGTGTGTGTGTGTGTGTGTGTGTGTGCGTGTGTGTGTGCATGTGTTTGAGATGAGTAATTCAAAGAGTGTTGGCATATGTGTGAACATGAAGCAAGAAGTGAGAAAAGATGGCCAAGCTGTTCCACTCATTTCTTTTATTACTAGTTAGAGACAGAATCACGTCCTGTGTGCATGTAAGTGGAACTTGATCGTCTGCGGCGTTCACTCAGCAAAGGGCAGAGGCTTCTTTCAGATGGACACCTGATATTTCCCCAGCATGCAGAGGAAATGAAGGTTATTTTAGTATTATGTTTCTCGGATCGAGATCACGGTCAGTGCATAGATATGGATTTGAGAGTATGGCTATGTCAGTGTTTCTGATTTCTTGATTTACATTATTTATGGCTGCACCAAATAAAAACCCTTTGTTTAAGATAAGGAGCGGAGCATTTAAAGTTCATTTCTACAAGATGTTTATGTTCACTTACATTCAGAACTGTGTCATCCTGCAACAAGACACTGTACACATTAATGTCCTCTCAAAATGATCAAAACTAATGCTGAATGATCTGCCTGACATATAGCCTAACCTACTGAGGACCTAAGGAAGAGAAAAACTCTCTATTTTTAGCACATGACATAACCTGACAACGCATCGGTTTTACAGCTTACCAGGCAACAAAATGTTACACAGATGTTTTTCAGAAAATCCACATGACTCGACTCCTCTCGTATCTACAGTATAAACATTTCAAGTCATATGAGCAGATCTCAAATATGAGTCACTTAAAAAACAACAACAACATTTTAATCAGCTGTTAAAAATAATATGTGGAATCATTTAAAGTGACAGCTAAGCTGCTCTCTCTGGTATCACTCAGCATTTTGAAATAGCTAGTGTCTGAACTATGAAAAGAGAGTCATTGCAACAGTTTTTAGCAGTATAGTAGTGTGTGCTTCTTGATGCATACGGTGTTACATTTTTTGTTTATTTTATTGGCCAGTATGTTTATGTTGCTCAGCTTTTTATTGTATAGCTGCAGAGCACTAACGAAAGAGTTAGCTCGGTCTTCATTCAATTCAAGATTCAAAGATTCAAAAAAGTCTATCACATAGTGACAGTAAATTACCTTTGGTTAGGTCTCTAGTCACATAAAATCATAAAAACATTCACACCATTTAGACTCACGTAAAGTCATAAAATCACACAAAAAGTTAAATAGAACAGGTTCATCTAGTCTTAGTGGGTCATCAATAAATTGAAGGATGAAAAGAATACATACTGTAAGCGTCTGCTAAATGAATTCTACATAAAATAATACAAATATAAAATAAAATTAGGCCTGTTAAATAAACAAACAGGTGCAGGATATGAGTGTTAAACACTGCTATGAGTCTGTTTTCTCCTCTCACCTCTCATTGTGCTCCTGATACACCAGACGGGATTTCTCCAGCAGATACTTCTCCACATACGCTCTGTGGATGAACACACACACACACACAGACACACACACACACACACACACACACACACACACACACACACACACACACACACACACACACACACACACACACACACACACACACACACACACACACACACACACACACACACACACACACACACACACACACACACACACACACACACACACACACACACACACACACACACACACACACACACACACACACACACACACACAGAAACACACACACATCAAAAGAGTCAATGAAGAACAGAAAAAGTTAGAACAAGTTGTGGCAGCAGTGGTCATAAGTAAACAATAATAACTTTATTTATAACTTAATATGCTGAGGATACATGTATTAGAGTGTATTAGTAGCTTTATAAGTATTAGGATGTATTAGTGTCTCCAGATAACATTTGTTATGCATTGGCGCTATACAAATAAAGACTGGTGGATTCATTGCTAATAACTAAGATGAAATCACACAAGGTGTAGTTTGAAGTTTTCTGGAGACTCATTCATAAAAATGACATAAACTACAGAAAAGAAGAAGAATAAAAAAACAGACAAGAGGGGAAACTAAGAGGTGGAGTTATCTAATTAAAGACATTTTTAATAACTTGTCAAATGAAATGCCTCATCATGACTTGATGCCATATTAATTCTGTTTCTCTCACAGGAGGAAAATAAGAGCTATGAGTAGCTGTAATTAATTTACAATCAGGGTTAAATGAGCATCTCTTCATTACACTGCTCACTAGTGTGTCAGACATTTCATTTTCACTATCAGACAGAATTATCTATTTTGTGTGATGAATGAACGGAGGGATATTTAACAGATACTTGATCAGCATTTTTACAAATTCATTAAACGATGATAAAAAGTGACGACTTCATAAATCCCTGTGTATTTACAAGTGATTCAATGTAACCACTCCTCTGATTTATGTCTGTAGACGTGTGAATCTTGCTCAGATTTCGGTATGTTAAGTGATTTACAGCTGGGGGGGTTTACGGCGTGTGTGTGTGTGTGTGTGTGTGTGTGTGTGTGTGTGTGTGTGTGTGTGTGTGTGTGTGTGTGTGTGTGTGTGTGTGTGTGTGTGTGTGTGTGTGTGTGTGTGTGTGTGTGTGTGTGTGTGTGTGTGTGCCTCACCCCCTGACGGTGCCACTCTCCTGGTAGTTGACCTGGATGAACTTTCCAAAGCGGCTGGAGTTGTTGTTGTGGGCGGTTTTAGCGTTCCCAAAGGCCTGAGGAGAGAAAAGAGAGTGTCGTGTTTAAGGTCAATGAATGTTGTAGATGGACAGGTGATAGCCGACAGGTACAGAGCGTGTTTTGTTTTCTTTATAAACAGAGATAAATCAGGGAAAAACAACATAGAACCTTAAATCGATGTCGCAAATGTTGTGTTTAAAAGCTTACACTACTCATCAAAAATAGCAAAAAAAAAAAAAGCTTTTAAAGTTTACATCCTGGATCAGAACTGAATCTGGATCAGAAACTGAAACAGCGTCAAAAGCCAAGTAGGTTAACAAATACAAGAAGGAATTTGTTGTTTTAGTGCATCAAAGTGACGATAGAAATATATGATATGAGTAAACAGCAGTACTACAACTGAGAAAACTAAAACAAAATGAGTATTCAAAAATATGTAAAACACATTTATTTTGTATAAGACGGAGCTGAACCAAAGTATGAGCAGAGAAAAGCCACCAATTACAGAAGTGTAACAGACGACCTGAGGCTCAGCAAGGGACACACACACACACACACACACACACACACACACACACACACACACACACACACACACACACACACACACACACACACACACACACACACACACACACACACACAACCAAAATTCCTAAAGGCAAAAACACTTCAGAGCTTAAAACAGACACACACTAACAACTCATGAAGTCTGTAGGCAAACACCAACACACACACACGCACACACGCACACACACGCACGTACACACACGCACACACATGCTTACACATACAGGGACTTTATCATTAGAGGGCCCTGGAGGATTCACTCAGGTTCTCATTAGGAGTCTGATGGGCCCACAGGAGCTGGTTAGTTAGAGGAGAGGAGAGGAGGTGAAGGAGAAACAAGATAACAAGGAGACAAAACAACAAGAAGGGGAGAGGAGAAGAAAATGGAAGAGGATACAAGGTGTGATGAGGAGGAGAGGAGGCAAGGAGCCTTGGAGATGGAAGGAGATAGCAATGAAAGAAGAAGAAGAAGAGAGGGAAGAAGATGAGAGGGAAGAAGACAAGGAGAGGTAAAAAAAAACACACAAACAAGAGGAGAGTAAGGAAGAAGCCAAAGCATGATGAGGAAATAATAGTAAATAAGGCAATGACAGGGGAGAAGAAGGGTATAGGAGACAATTGTCTCCTCTACTCAAGATAATAAGGAACCACAGAGAAGAGAGGAGACAAAGATAACCAAGGGAGATAAGGAAATGAGGAGTGAGGAAGAAGGTGCACAACAGAGAGGAAAACACAACACAAGTAAAGAGGAGAGGAGAGGAGAGGAGGAGAAACAAGGATAGAATAAGAGACAAAAATAGGAGAAAATAATAAAGGTAGAACAGAGAATTAAAATGAAAAGCCAAGGAACAAAGATGTTGAAAAGGAAGAAAAAAGTTAGATAAGGTAAAATGATGGTCAAGGAGAGGAAAGAAGGAAAGCAGACGATTAAAGGAAAGAAGAAGGGGTGAAGGAATAGAGGAGAAGACAGGAAATGAGGACAGGATACGAGATAAAAAAACAATGAGAAGTGATATTAAAAAAGGAGACTGGAAGAAATTAAAAAGCTACACGCAGGAAGAAGAAGAGGAAGAAAGAAATTAGAGCGGATGATGAAGGACAAAAGGAGGATCAAAAATGAGGTCTGGAGGAGAAATATTTTCAGATTTCAGCCTTTCAGCAATCAGAAGCAGGAGCTAAATATGAGGCTGATGCAATCTTTATTGAGGAGTTATGATGAACGACTAAATAAAACCAGCAGAGGAGGGGAGGGGGAGGAGGAGGGAGGGGATAAGACAGAGAGAGAGACGTGGGCGTCAGATAATTGATTGTGTCTGCTGGCTGAATACTACATCTCTGGAATAACACGGTTAATAAAAGTGAAATCCTGCTCCTGAATCCGCCTTTGATCTGTGTGATGATTCATTCAAAGAAAGAACTCCCCCAACGCTGCCGACCTGACACACATTCTACCGGCCAATCACAGCCAAGCAGCCGCAGGAAGAGAGGAACAAAAACGACAAATCATCCGGTTTCTCTCTTTCTTGTTTGTCTACCTCCGTCTTGTCTTCTGTACATTTCCCTGACTTAATTCTCTATTTATTGTGCCTTTTAAATCGACCGGTTTCCTATTGGGGTTTTGCATGGTTAAAACGGAAAATCTCCTTCGATTCCATCAATCCAAAATGTAAATCGAAACTGCAATTTACATGATAATGACAGAGCTTTCATCCTCAATCATTTCTGGATAAAAGAGCCTCTTTCTGTGGCAAAATGTTTCCAGTTCTGCCTCTTTTTTTTTTAAAGAGAGAGAAATCCACTTCCTGAAAGGATTGAGTGAAATGAGGCCGGCTCTAATGGAAACCATCAATGACAATCAAACCGCTGCTGAGAGGAGACACACGGAGGGAAGACATAAACTGCATGTTCAGGAGAGTGTGTGTGTACATTTTGCATGTTTGTCATGTGTGGATGCATGCTGTGTGCAGTTTGTGTGTCTGTGTGAAAGAGATTAATGAGCAGGGCAGCAGTGTCTGGATGATTTAGGGCTGAACTCTGCCTCATGGTCAACGCCTGCTGAGACCACAGCACAGGAAAACAGACACTGTGATGGGTGATTACTCAGCGTGTGGGTGTGTAGCATGGGAGTTTCTGTGAGTGCTAAATGTAGAGAGTTTAATAAAAAGCGAGAAAACAGGAAGAAAATGAAACACATTTCTTGCTTGTGAAAAGTGCAAGCATCCATTAGTTAAATGTTAATTGCCTGAAGTTGTTCTGCAGCACAGGGGTTTGGAAGAAATTATGGCAAACTATGTATGCAGTGGTTTGGTCCAAATCAGTTTAAGTAAATTTTGAAAGACTGAGAAAGTGATTTCACCTTGAGGTATTTGACACATGTTCATGTTCATGCTAAGAAAGGACTGGCAAAAAATGATTTGTGACGTGTTTATGACACAATCGAGCACAAACCTTTTCTTCCATTTCTAAACATTAACTTTTCATGAACGCAATGCTTGTATCTGGTTTGATCTTGGTCTAAATCAATGACAGGCATAAAGAAGAAGCATCACAAACTGTGACCTCATGTTTGTTCCCGCTAAAGAGAACATGTAGCCTTGAGGAAACATCCAAGAACAACGAGTACAAACTGGATACATGTGCTGTTCCCAGAGACTTAAAAAGACCGTGTTGTCATTTCAATTTGAAAATAAACTTGATTCAATACAAACTGAATTAACCCCGGCTTTCACTGGGTGGCCTGTGGTGCCATATGGAGTCCAGAAATAACAAACTTAAGAGTGTTAGAAACAGCTCACCACTCTGTCCATTTAAGCAAATCACAGATACAGCGCTTAGCCGGCCATATGCTACATTTAATGTAGAAGCAAATGTGCTGACCCCGAGGCTTAATCCTGCTGTGACTGTGTGTGTGTGTGTGGTTATGTTTAAGTCCTAATGCTAACTATGGCTCCATACTGACAGTATGCTAATGATTGCTTATGCGCTGCGTTAGCGCCTGTGGGCTCGTCCACGCTGTCACATTGCGTTAGCTAGTTGTTTCCTGCAACACTGCAGAAAGGCTCTGCTCTTCGGCCTCAGAGGAAGCAAGCATTGATGCTGCTGTTTCAGAACAGGATTTAGCGTGTGACGTTATGAGAGGAAGGGGAACCAAATGAGAGCTGGTCTTTTAATTAGCATGTCAGGACTGTCCCCAAAGCAGGCGACTTAAATCAGCTCACTATACTGAGCTAATAACGCGTTACTCTATTTTTTGTCTTTTCCTCTCTTTGTCTTGTTCCCCAGTGAAGCTTCAGTGTTTCCCTAAACACTCTCAAAAACCATTTGGTGACCTAGTTTGTGGAGAACAAGTGGAGACCTGCCAAAACCACCTCTGGGCTAGTTTCCATTAGCTAGCTTCTGTGTTTCATGGCGTGCTGACTGGTTATTGATTATTGATGCTGGCTGCAGTGCGCTAATGTCCAGGTGATGGTGACTGCTTTTGTTCTTTTGCAGAACTTTATGTAAAGTGTTTTTTTTTACGTTATTTTGTGAAAAAATTCAGGTCAGAGGGAGTGGATATATGATATCGGGGACCATATACGTAGGTGAGATGAAAAACCCCCAAGGAGAAACCTTCATTAAAAAATGGGGGAAATGGACAGAGCCTTGCTTGTAGAGAAGAAGGACCTTCTGATGACTCTTTGGACAGTAGTGGGGATTATTGTTCTATGAAAAAATTATTGGAAGGGGCTTTACTTTCATATTTCCATCAATCTATTATCTAAACCGCTTTTTCCCGTCTGGGTTGCAGGGGGCTGGAGCCGATCCCAGGCGGGGTACACCCTGGACTGCTTGTCAATCACAGGGCTGACATATTGAAACAGACAACCAGCCACACTCACATTCACACCAACGGGCAATTTTAGAGTCACCAATTAACCTAATGAGCTTTACTTACCCTCCAAATAAAAGCTGTTGAGGTTTAACATCCTGCTTATCAATTTATAAATCTGACATGTGACAAACATACGCAGCATCCACTGGATTCTGACTTCTGCAGGAACATTACACCTTCTTTATGTCTGTTACTTTGTGCAGAGACAGCGTTGTGATTGGACAGTACAGTCCCGAACAGCAGGTTATTTTTCTTTCATTTTGTTGCGTGTAAATTCTGCTGTAAAACCAACAGGTGGGCAGAAGGGCTCAACCTCCTTTTCCCAATTTACTGTGACAAAACCAGACCAGAAAGCAGCGCTTTGCATTCAGCCCGCGGGGATCCACACAGCAGCAGCAAAACTACACAACTTGCATGCAGTCATTGTGTCAGTCAAGCTTAGTAACACACACATCTCCTTTGAAACAACCACTCGCTAAAAAGGTTTTGTAGCAGATGCAGTTCATGCCGTCACTTAGACATAGGCTCAAGATCACACTAACCCCATTTGCTGCCTCATTAAACAGCTGCAACATGACAGGAGAAGCTGGC